CATCATGTGAAAACAATAAAAACATGAAAATATAAGATATCCACGATTTTCACAAATTTTGTTACAAGACTCGAAATTATACATTCAACAACATAATAAACATTATGAATTGTTGTTTTATTGTTGTTTGATTTGTAATTGGGCTATGAATCAACTCTGGTAGCATCAAATATCGGAACTTGGTAAATTGACAACATGATGAAAATCTGATAATAAATATGATGTTTATTATCTATTTAAATAGTAGTACTAAAAGACATGATTCAAGTTGGTGAAGTACATGTTGAGTTATGGTCCATGTACTTTTTAAAAATTCACATGTACCTATCCCTATCATAACTTGACCAAAATTGATAAGAGAAAGTTCTCCTACCTACTATTGACCATTCCGAACAATAATACATTGACACTTTTCCAACTTGTCCAGTAGATCCAGCAGTGATGATGAATTTAGTGAAAATTTTGACATTTCACCAAAATTACATTGCTAAAAATTAATTTCCACAAATACTATTATTATATTGATGGAAAACAATAATGATGATGGTTGGTGAATGATCCGATGATGGAACACCAACTTGGGATTTTCCAGCATGAAAAATAAATTCCAATTTCATGATGATAATGAACCAATAAAAATTACTATTATTATTACTATATAGATCATGTTGAGATGATGATGTGAAAGTTTGGTGGTTTCATGATGTAAAACCACTCCGAAAATCATGATGTCCTCCTTGAGTAGAAGAATGTTGAATATTTTTTTATGAAGTTTTTGTGAGAATGGCGTAGCAGTTGTATTATTGGTGAAGTTATGGTCTATGTCTTTCAAAATTAAGTCCATCATGATGATAATCCACTAATAAAATTACTACTATTCAGATCATGTTGAGGGGTTCGATTTATCTCTTGTTTTACTGTAACAAGTATTGCGCCCAAAATTGTTAAGGTACTTCCCGTGTGCTAAACTCAAGCTCCAAAAAAATGTTTGAAAATAAGCCACTAACAAACATGCAAGATATTAACTCTGGAAAAGATTATTTAGCGAGTAAGAAGGAAGGAATGATGTTATCGGAGAAGGAATTTATCAGTGATGATATTGAAATTAATGATAACACAAAAGCTACTTCTTCAAAAACACTTTTCAATATTTCATCACCTTCGTTTAGGAAGAGATTGGAACTGGGAGAGGATGTACATGTGCCATTCTCCAATAATTTTAATAATAATGTAAATAATTCAAACAATATTGAAAAACAACAAACGGAAACAAGTTCATCATCAACTACAACAACACCGAGACCATCATTCATCAAAGCACCATCATTACCTTCATTATCTTTTCCTATTAAGAAAAGTTCATCAGTTTCTGATGATGTTAAAGAGATTGAATCCAAATTGAATGCTAATTGCAAGAATGGTGTGGAAAGGGCAATGTTATACA